TCAGACCTATCTCACGTTGAAATTTGATCTATAAGTTCATATCAAAACTCATTGCAACCAATCTCAGTACTGTACTCCCCATAATTATTAGCACTTCACAGATTGCTTTTGTTAAAAATAGACATATTACAGATAACAATTTACTTGCTTATGAGCTCTTGAATGGTTATCATAAAGCCTCTCACTCACCATGTTGTGCACTCAAAATGGACCTTAAGAAAAATTTTGATACCCTCTATTGCCAATTTATTTTGGATGCCCTTTAATTGTTTGGTTTTCCTAAGCAATATATTTATTCACTAGATTGCACAATGTATTTTACTCCGTCTTACTCCATCTCACTTAATGGACAGTTGTTTGGGTTTTTAAAGGGTAAAAGAGGGATTAGCAAGGTGATCCTATATGTCCCCCGCTGTTTTACTTGTGCTTACAATTGAGGTTCTTACCTTGTCACTTAATAAGGCCATTTCCCAAAGCACTTATGTTAAGTACCTTGGGAGATGTAGCAAACTTTCGATCTCTTATTTACCTTTTGGATATGATATTCTTATGTTCTCTCATGGTACTCTTGCTTTTGTTGAGGTTCTGCATACAACCTGTAACAATTTTCTCACAGCATCTGGTCTTTCATTCAACTGTTCCAAGAGCCAATTCTTCTTTGCTAGTGTGGATGGACAAACCAGAGCTAGCATCACTTTACTCTTATAATTTGAAGTTGGTGTTTTGTTAATTGCATACCTTGGGCATCCACTATCCTCTTTAGCTATCAATTGATAAGCATTGAATATTGCATATTCAAGCCCTTAAATGTGCGTTTGTTGAGACCTTAAGTGATACTTCTATCCGGGTTTATACTTATTTTAGTATATTTGCTTTGTGTAGGAGATTTCCCGAAGAATGGCACAAAATCGTGATTCTAGAGCTTAAATATTGTTTCCGAAACTTATTAAGATGTATCAGACCATCCGAGGCAAGTTTGGAGTTAATCAGGCGATTTTGAAGAAGTTCAAGTGCTAGAGCTCGAGCACGATCATTTATGCTCGAGCACAAAGTGGACTGAACAAAGAAAAATGACTAAGGCAAAAATGCTCAAGCACTGAATTTTAGGCTCGAGCACAAATCCCCCTGGGAAGATAAAAAGACCCTTCAGAAATTTCAAGTGCCAGAGCTCGAGCATTTCTCAAAATGCTCGAGCACAAATTTAAGAAGTTCAGAAATATTCTAAGTGTTAAAGAAAAAGACGTTTCAAAAATATTTGAAGTATAGAATTAATGCTTAAGCCTTTCCAAAATGCTCGAGCACAAGCTGAAGAGCTTGAGCACAAAATTTTGTGCTCAAGCATTTTCATTTTAGGAAAATTCTTTAAGCGCAGGATTAATTTTAAAACCATCCTTTTAAGTTTGAGATGGGCCCAGATGACCCCAGAAGTCCTAAAGCCCATCCAAGAGGAGATAAAAGTCAATTACTTCTATAAAAGAAAGTAAAAGGCCATAAGAAAACTCTCTTACAATATTTCAGATCTAGCGCGCCTTTTAGGATTTTTGAAGTTCTTTTTGAAGAATTGAAGAAGAAGAAGAAGATCCCCAGAAGAGGAGTTCCAGTCCATGAAGATGCTTTCTACACCAACAAAGATGATATTCTCCATCTTCATGAGTAGCTAAATCCTCTCTTAGGGCATTGATGTAACCCGAATCTGATTACTATGGTTTGATTGTTCTTCAACTTTGGGATTTTTCAGTATTTATATATATTGATTGCATGATTATGAGCAATTGACTTAGATCCTCTAAGCAATTGGGTTTTAATAAAATAAAAGTGATTTTTGATAAATTAATTCTTCGTTAATCAAAATCAAATTATTCTTATTGTATGAGATTGGCGGCTAAGGGCTTCTCATGATAACAAGAATTGTGATCATGCAATGATGCTTAAACCATTTTTGTGAATGAATGTTTTGATAATTTATACTTAGGGAAGACAAATTATTCTGCAAAATTAGTTTAGAGTAGGTAGGTACATAACTCGTGCCAACCGAAGATATGTTATTATTAACAAACATTCATGATTTATCTTCTTAAAAATTGAATTGAATATAATGTTAATTCTCTTAATTCCTGGTTATACATAAATATTGGAATCCCTAACGTTGAGTCAGTTTACCATAGTATGAGGTTTTAGGTGAAATCAAGCCCTAAGTACTTTTCCTTCTAATCTCTGTCTCTTTAATTTACTTTTTTTTTTTTTTTTTTTCTTCATGTTATTGGATTTCATCACAACAAACAGAAATTTTCTCTAAATTAAAATAATAATTAATTTTAGACTTGATAAACCACCACAGTCCCTGAAGTTCGACACCCTCAAAGTAGCCCTATCCTGCAAATGATTCAATCTATTGCGAGTGGTCATTTACAATTGAAAAATAAACACATCATCAATACTACTAACTGTCAAACTATAGTGTAGAGAATTATAGCTAGAATCAGTATGTGGACTTCAAGGTTCCTATGGAAGAGCTTAGTTGATCAAGTCAATCCTCTACTTAATTAAAGCTTACTAAACTCAGGCTTTTGTCCTTCATTTGAAGGTTATTGACCAAATCAATCAAATTCTTAGAGGTTTTTACTAGTTTGGGATTGATCTTAAGAAAGGCAGTGATAAAGTTGCTTAGTCTACTATCTGTAGACCAAAAGCCTATTGGGGTCTAGGGTTTCTTTGTCTTCAACCGACAAACAGAGTTTCAAGCCTCAGACATTTATGGAAGTTATGTTCAATGAAGGATATCATGTGGGTTGCTTGGACTTGCAGGTATCTCAATAAATCAATGAGGCTATGGACTGTCAAAGCATCATCACTGAGCTCTGGGTTTTGGAAAAAACTTCTTAAGCTGAGAAGTATGGCTATAAGGCTAATAAGGCATGAGTGGGCTCTAGGGTTGACACAAGCATCTGGTTGGACTATTGGCTTCCAAATATGCCTATCTCAAGTCAGCTTGGTCTCACTGATATGGAAATTCTTTAACTGGACACTCAAGTCAAAGTTAATATCTTAATTTTCAATAATCAGTGGGAAATTCCAAACACACTTCAATATGTTCCATTCTTCCAAACTCAATCCTTCATTACTCAGTTCCAGAGCATCACACCTCCAATAACTGGATATGATTAGATTGATTGGCTTCCAAGTGCCTCTAAGGACTTCTCAAATATACTCATAATGTATTATTTCACCCATCTATCCCTAGTTTTTGCTTAGAAGCACAGCATTTGCTTCCAACACCACATTCCAAAGCATGGTTAGGCTTGCACTCAAGGAGGGATTATCCACATTGGACACTAAGCCAATGTTGCACAAGCATCACACTAATGCATGCTATCTTTATCTCTCTGATTGGGAATCAATTGACCACCTCATCTTCAATAACAAATTCTATGGTGTCATTTGGGAATTCATTCAGCATGCTGCAGGATTTTACATCAAGCCAAACAATTGGAGAGAGCTCATTTATTGGTGTTCATACACATGGTCTCAAGGTCACTTCATAACACACAAACTTCTCCTTTCAGCTACTATATACTTCATTTGGCAAGAGAGGAATGCAAGAGGGCGCATTTAGAAACATATCATCTACTACACATCACATTATTTACCTTATTAAGAATTATATTAGAGCAAGGTTTGCTTCACTCAGGCTAAAGAATGGTACATATATAAGGAAGGTTGGTTCATTGGAGGCCATGCAGCAGATCTTCTTGCAAGGTTGTTCTTTTGCTAATGGCCAATCATGTTTCTTACTTTGAGTTATTGGTGTATCTCAGTTGGACCTTGTACCAAGGTTGTTGTATTATTTTGTAATTTTTGCTTAGATATGGTTATAAATAGTTTGATGCATCTGGAAAATGTATTTTTTTTTTTTTTTTTTTGAAAACCTGAGGTATTCGAGGTTTCACCCCAACTAATCCCCGAAGACCCGTGCAAGGCGACCCCCCTACACAAATTGGGTGAAACTCGGACTATATCTGCAGTCGTGGCCCCAAAGAATTGCTCGCACCTAAGGAGAATCGAACCTGAGACCTGAAGCTTAATGAGGCTTCAAGGCCCTAAGCCTTTTCCACTAGGCCAACCCCTTGGGGTTCACCTCTGGAAAATATTCCTTAGGCTTACAGTGTTCATTTCATGGATTATGTACATATTTTTCTTTTATTATACAAGCTTACTAATTCAACCGAAAAAACACATTAGAATTCTAGATTTTGCTTGTTAGTGTATGTACAAGGAAAATTTGATTGACGATTAACTGACTTAAATTTGAGATTCATAATGTTAAAAATTGCAGTTCCATCATTGTAACAAGGAGATCCAAAAAAAGAAAAAGAAAAAGACGGAAAAGTCAATTGCTAGTTGCTACCTTAATTTTCATTGAATTTTATAGTTACAGGAGGAAAAAATTTCGAACCTAACAATAAAGTGCACTAAAGATGGAAGAAAATTTTGGCCATCCAATTGATTGCTTTTTTGCGTTGCATTGTCTTTGTCTACAGTCTCTCATGGAACTAAATATTTTCTTTTACCAAAAATAAAATAATTCTGAAGTCAATGGTTGATAAAGGATTGTGTAAGATAGGTTCATATGGATTGCACATTACCTGTCCAGATCTATTACCAACCATGACGGTCTTAGGTAACCAATATCGAAGTCTTCCTATGACCAAGTCTACATAAATGAACTCCTTAAATCTCATTTTTTCTTTTATTTATTTATTTATTTATTATTATTATTTTTTTTGGTAAGAAATTCTCTTGATTTTACTTTTCCCCGACAAACTAGAGGGAATATATGAGGAAAAATTGGGCGCGGTATCGAAAATTGGAGGCGCTATCAATTTGGCCACTAAACGAGGTTTATGAGATCTTTTTAAAGATTTTATCTAATCCGATTATCAGGAAAAAAAAAAAAAAAAAAAAAACACTTTCATATATGTTTGATTTGTAATAACAACAAATACAAAAACAAAAACATTTCTTTATATTGGTTTGCTATATATAACAAAAAAAAATACGAAAAAAATAAATCCAAAAAAGCACTCCAAGAGAGGAGAAATCAACGAATCATACATTACCTACAATCACACTCTATCAAGATCTCCTAAACCACCATCCTGATCATCTCCACAAGATTGAATTCTTCGCGACGACCTTTCCCTGCTAATCATCCTCCGGAACGAGCTCAACCGCGAGCTAGATCCACCAACCTTAGCCGAGTTCTGAGCTGCTGCACCACCATCCGATGTCCCTTCCATACTCGAGTTCACATGTTCAAGAGGTGGAGCGGTGGGAGGCTCGCGTGGCTCCGGCTGAAGGAGCGGTGGCTCGGCCTCAGTCCGGCAAATGGGACAGGTTGGGTGCGAGCTCAGCCACTTATCTATACACTCTGCGTGAAAAGTGTGCTTACAGTTCGGAAGAGCCCTCGCCATTTCACCATCCTCTAACACACTCAAACAAACTGCACACTCTGTGCTGCCCATCTCATCTTGGCTCATGTCCACTTGCCGGAAAACAAACACCGGTAGGGAGGCGATGACGGATGGATCAAGGCCGGTCTTCGGGGGCTCGGTGGAGTGCACTTGGGTTGCAACACCAAACTGCCTAATGATGGCTCTCCGCCGCGCTTGGCGTCGAAGGACACATCTTGCATAAATGTGAAGTATGGTGACAAGTAATACAACAACAGATAATGAGATGATTGCTGTGAGCATGATCTTGCTGTTTAGATCGTACCTTCTTTCGCCCGAATGCCATGTTGGTGAACTTGATGTATGTCTGCTGCCGTCCTCGTCGACCATGGTGGCGGTGACGGGGTATGAGGCGGAGAAGGGGCTGAGGGAGGTGGGGTTTAGTATTTTTTTGGATGTGTGAAGATGGAGCTATGGCAAATCTGGACATAATTTTCCAGTTTTATGTGGTGTTTTTGGTTTGTTATCGTATTTGTTGGGCATATGACTTGTGATTTGCGTGTGTTGGTGGACTTTGAAATAGAAAATGGACGACTAACCAATTACAAGAAACTCTATGATTTCTAAGATCGATGTTGACTGTTGAATGTTGAATTTTTTGTTCCTTTCCACATTTGCCCCTTTCCGTAGTTTTTGCTTGTTTTTTTTTTTTTTTTGTTTGTTTTTCTTTTATATTTTTCTTCTTTTGGAAACCCCTACTGTCACTGCAAAGACTTTTCTTACGTTCATGCAAGTCTTTTTCCCTGCTTGTGTGGGGGAAAAAGCACTAGAGAAGTTTATTTGAAAAATTATAAAAGAAGCTTGTTGCATTCTAAAATAAAATTTCCTTTAAAAGACAAGACAAAAATGTTGAATTTGGGAACACGGTGAGTTGCAAAACTGATGTGACTATGGGTTCAAGAAATTTCTTGGGAGGGAGAAAAAAGAAAGTTTTATTTTCATTTTAAATTTTAATAAGGAGAATTTGTCATTTTAACTTGGTGATATTTGGTACATGAAAGTAGTGAGATAAACTCGATCTTCAAATTATACATATTACTTAAATTTATTTGTTTTTGTAGAGTATTGTAAATATCAAAAGTGTCGTGGTTGTGCTACAATAGAATGTACAAAAATTCAATAACTTTTACATTATTGGTGTGCTCATCATTCTATTTATTATCAATAAATTGGAATAATTCATAGGAGAATAATGAAGAAAGTGAATGCACTAACATTTTTTCCCTAATAAGAAATTTAATTTAATTGTAATATATCTAAAACATAATGAATTTAAATCTTTAATTAATTTTTTCGGTTTTTTTTTTCTTTCTCTTTTTTCTTTTTTTTGGCACATACATCTTCACTAATTATCCACAAAAGCAAGGAAATTATCATAATACTGAGTAGTTTTTAGTCAATATCTAAGCCTATTCAATTGTTGTGTTTCTTTCCAACAAAAAGAATAATCTCTTATATATTCCACGCGTACCAAAACTCACCGAGTGAATGAATACAATTAAATGTTAACAAAGTCTTACTCTAACTATGTAATATATATTAATACCATCCAAGACTGAACTTATTACTATTGTAATATGATTTACATGGCAATTCAGATAGTTTTCTAGTCTTTTTCCATAAAGTGTGTGTTCATATATATACACACATATTGGTCTATGCCGTGGTCAGTAAGCTGGAGAGAGTTTGAAATTAAATACAGGATTATAATTTCTAGGAATTTTCTTATGATTATGATGGATGAGACTTGCAATATAGTAAGCAAATCGATGGACCCCATTGAAGAAGTAGGATTACCTACTATTGATTCCTCAAGTCTATTTATGATTTAATTAATTTTAGGGTAATAATAGAGTGTCTATGCTTATACACCTTGATTTGTACTTTTTAGTTTTTTTGACTTGGAGCATTCGAGGTTTTGCTTTGATTAATTTTAGAAGACTCAGAAAGGGTTTCTACCCACCCCGAACTAGGTAAATTGTTGAGTATAGCAAAAAAACTATGATTCTAAGAAATCGTAAGTTCCTAACCAAAACGAGTCTCAAATCTTGGTACTTGTGAGGTACCAAAACCTAAGTAATTTTACCATTAGACCAACTCTTTGGAGTTATTCATTTCTATTCTTGATTCCCCAAGTCTATTTATTATTATAATTACCAAGATAAAAAAATTTATTTATTTATTATTGTTGTTGTTATTATCATTTGGTTCCATATTATTCTTGCTATTTTTTTTTTTTTTTTTTTTGGTCTTTTCTTGTTACAATTTATTTTTTTTCCCTTCATAGAAAATGCTCTCTACAATATGATACAATTTACATCATTTATTTCATTTCAAGATGAGTGTACTTATTGAGTCTTCTATTAAAATATAATCATCTCCATTTAAAAACATTTGTGGACTAGGATATATTCTATTTAGAAAATGTATTATTAAATTATATTTTAAAATTTAAAATAACTTATGTCGCCGCTAATACAGCGTGAGAATTGGGGAAACCATGTGGGGGTTTTTCTATGAAACGTTATTCTATTGACCTGGAAAATTTTATAGAAAAATGTTGGGTCTTCTTCATATTGGAAGTTGCTTGTAGAATGGTGGGTATGAGTCAACAAAGAAGACTTTAGTACTAAATGATGCACTTAATTTCAATGGTCTCATTTAATGAATGTCATACTGTCCAAACAATGATGCCGTTTATTTCCAGCCATTTACACATATGACTTTGTCTTTGTTATTTTCGTTAGACTTGAAGGCTAGATAAATTAATGGACGATTCTATAGATTTTTTCATCGAATATAATTCTAATACAATAAGGCCCTGTTTGGTAACTTTGAGTTTTGATTTTTTATTTTAATTATTATTTTTTTAAAAAAAAACGCTAACAAAATCATTTTGGTAACATTTCAAAACTTTTAAAAACTAGTTGCCATTTCCTTCACAATTCCCACAATTTCAAAATGAAGCTTTGGTTTTTTTTTTTTTTTTTTTTTTTTTCAAATACTGTTATTTTATTATATTAAAAATGAGAATTAGAGAAATGTTATTTTATTGTTTTATTATTTTTCACAATTAGAGAAATGTTATTTTATTGTTTTATTATTTTTCACAATTAGAGAATGTTATTGTATTATTTTTTAATTATACTCGAATATTAAATAAAATATATGTTTATTATTTTTCAAAAGGAGAATTAGAGAAATGTTAAATTAGAGAAATGTTATTTTATTATTTTATTAATTTTTAATTATACTTGAATAGTAAATAAAATTAAAAAAAAAATATTTCATTACACTCGAATAGTAAAATTAAAAATGTTATTTTATTATTTTATTAGTTTTCAATTATACTCGAATAGTAAATAAAATATTATTTTATTATTTCTCAATTATACTTGAAAAGTAAATAAAAGAGTCAATTTTTAAAAAAAAAAAAAAAAATTTATCAAACATATTTTATATTTTCTCTTTTCAAAAATTCAACAGATATACGTTACTGATCGTCTTTCTCGGTGTTGAGCAAACTTTTAATATTTATAAACATAAAAAATTGAGATATGTTCGACAATATGGTAAAGTTTGTCGCAAACAATCTCAACGTCAAGTATTCTATTACAACTACGTAGAGTAGTGTGAGTGGGGGTCGAACATAAGGACTATAGGTTTGAATTAAATTTAATATAAATGAGCATTTGATTGTAACAACGATGGTTTGATTGAGTTAATTAATCCTAGAATTTAACTAAGTGTAATAGCAACTAAGATGGCGCAAGAGTTAAATATAATGGAATCAAAATAGAAAGACTTAGGGCATGGATTTCACCGATAAGTTCATGCAACTACATAAATGACTTCAACTAATGGGGGTTATTGCATTGTATAATAGAGACATGGCTACAAGCACACATCTCAACAAGAATAATGCTACACATGCATTCATTAAGTGTGAATTATCAACCTCAAGAATGGACTATCCACCTAACTATTCAACATTGTAGTATAATCCATCAAATCAAATAGCAAGTGTATCTAAATTATCACATATGCAAGGCCATTGATGCACACCTTGAGTGTCAATCAAAATAGGTGTTTATATGGCAAATGGAACATCAACTTTTATATTTATAAAACCAATAAACAACTGTACGTTATTATAGTGAGAAGGGATCGTCCATAAGGATTATTAGCTTGGAATTTAATTCAACATCAATGAGCGTGAGATTGAAAAGATAATGATTAACTCAATGTGAAGGCATATAAACAAAATAAACTAAAGTAAACTCGGATTAAGGTGATAAGGAGAGAAAGGCTTAGGGCATGGATTACTCCACTAAACTCATGCAATTATACCAAATGCCTTCAATTAATGGGGAAAACACATTTTAATAAAAATGTGGCTACAAGCACACATCAATTATCAAGAAGATAATACAAATTGTAATGAATAAGTATGAACTATCAAAATTAAGCATGAATTGTCTACCTAACTATAGTTACTCTAAGGTATAGCACAATCCATCAGAACTAAGTATAATCCATTAAACTAATAGCAATTGTATCCAATAGAAACCATGCATAGCAATCATTAAGCACAATTACAAAAGTACTCAATGTAGAGATTAACCCTCAATTAATCACACATAAGACAACATATAACTAATATAGAGAATCAATTGAAAGAATTATCAACATAAGCCTTGGTACAACCAAGTTTGAATTCACAAGACCAAGCACTAATTACAATTCATAATCCCCAAAAATGAAAGAGAAAAGGTTTAATTACACAAGCTTAGGGCTCATCCGAGCCCTAAGTGAAGAACTAACCACAATAGAAAAGGTAGATGTCATCATGGTGGCCTCATAATCCATCTCCAAGCTTGGGTTCATCATCATCTTCTTCTTCCTTGAGAGAAACCCTAAAGAGAGAGAGAGTAGAAGTAGAATTCTCCTTAACTTCCAAATTCCCAGATGTCCCACCCTTGAAAAAATGGTTCAATCTTGTATTTATAGGTAACTCTTGGAGGCCAAAATGAGTTAGAACCGTACATTTAAGTCAGGCAATCTCGCAGGCACTGGCTCCTCGAAATTGGAGCCCAAAACACAAGCATTAAATTATTCTGACCGACTCACGATCGATTATGAATTACATACAATCAATCGTATTTTAACCAAGATCGATCATAAATTAGCCAAGATCGATCATAAATTCCTAGGATCGATCGTGAATTCCCAGTTTGGCTTTTTCTAGAGCTTCCCTTCTTTACTACATTTTGATTGACTCCAAAAAGACTTTAATTCACTAAAATAAACCATTTTCTGATGCAACAACCAGAAAATGACAATAACGCAAATATATAAGTACTAAACAATGAATAAAGATAGGACTAAGATGCTAACAATCATAAGAATAAAGGCCGAAATTTACATATTTCGGCACTTATCACACCCCCAAACTTAAATATTACTAGTCCCTTAGCAATAAGCAAAGAAGTAAATAAAAAAAATAATAACTATACGACTAAAGTCAATAAAGTAATAAAAAGATAGTGCTATTTTCTTAGGGATCACAGTTGCATTTAGCGTATGCCCTATAATTCAGCTCATCCATAGTTTTGGGCGTCTACACAACCAAAGATATGTGAAACTGAGTTCCTCTGATCATAGCGAGCTTGAACGCCTGTAGCACAGATGAGGGATGGCAC